CATGCTTGGGAGGGTAGAGGGACAGCGCAAGAGGGGAAGACCCTCTATGAGATGGATTGATTCAGTGACTGGGGTAATCGGGATGGGTGTGTCAGAAGCAGTGCAATTGGCACAGGATAGAGCAAGGTTTATGGCTGTTGTGCATAGGGTCGCTATGAGTCGCAAACGACTCGACGGCACATAACAACAATAACAACAATGCTCTGTAAAATTTTCAGGATCTCTTCTGACATCCATGTTTGGTTTTTATTCCTCTTCTGCCTGTAATGACATTTTTGCTCTCTTCATAGATAATATCCTTGATGTCATCCCACAACTCACATGGTCTTTGATCATTGGTGTTCAATGCTTCAAATATATTCTTAAGATGATATTTAAAATTCAGGTAGGTTAGACTCAAGATCATATTGGTCTTGTGGACTCTTAAAATTTTCTTCTACTTCAGCTGGTATTTGAACATGTACCTGTCCTGGTTTTTAACTACTGATATTGAGCTTCTCCAATAATTCCTTCCACAGAGGTAGTCAATCTGATCCCTACACAGTCTATCTGGTAACATCTACACGCAACCTTGCTGCTTGGGCTTTTTCTTTGTTGTTGTTGTTTTAAAAAGTATTTGCAATGAATAAACCACTGAACATACAAAATGCGATCATTCTACTCCCAGGCTCAATTCTGAGTCCCTACTTTCCAACTACCCTTCCTTCTTCACTGTTTCCGACTTTTGCATTCCAGTCACTAATAATCATTAACACATCTTGAGTGCATATTTGGTCAATTTTGAACTACAAAATTTGATAAAATCTTTAATTTCCTTCTTTTTGGCTTTAGCTATTGGCCCCTATATTTGAATAATAGTTATATTCACCGGTGTTCCCTGTGTGCATATGTTCCCTATCGCTTGCAACATTGTACTTCAGACTGAATCTATGGAAGACTGTTGTTGTTGTGTACTATTTAGCCAGAACTGACCCAGAGCTGACCCTCTGGTGGGTTTTCAGAGGCAAGTTTTCACATGGGAGGAGACTGCCAATCCTTCTCATAAAGAGCAGCTGATGTATTAGAACTGTGTGTCTTCAGGATTACAGTGCTACTTCTTGCCACTAGGCCACCAGTGCTCCCTTTAGAAGACGGTTGTTATTATGTGCTGTCAAGTTGCTTGCACCTCACAGCAACCCTGTGTACAACAGCCCAGAAACCTGCTCTATCCTGTCACAACTTTACTGTCTCTGACACAACTACTCTCATTACTTTAATCACTGTATCAATCCATCTCATCAATGGTCTCCCTCTCTTTCTCCATGCCTCCATCCTTCCAAGCATGATGTCCTTCTC